AAAAGCATAAAAATGCAGTATCATGGCTGGGCGTGGTGGCTCACGCCTGTGATCCCAGCACTTTGGGAGGCCGAGGTGGGCAGATCGCAAGGTCAAGAGTTCAAGACCATCCTGGCCAACACTGTGAAATCCCGTCTCTACTAAAAACACAAAAGTTTATCCAGGTGTGGTGTTGTGTGCCTGTAAGCCCAGCTACTCAGCAGGCTGAGGCAGGAGAATCGCATGAGGTTGCAGTGAGACGAGATCGCCCCACTGAACTTCAGCCCAGGCAACAGTGTGAGACTTTGTCTCAAAAATAAAAAGCAGTAGCATGAACAACTCTATGCAAATACATTCAGCAACTTAGAGGAAATAGACTAGTTCTACAGAACGTCTAGCCCTGTATCTACTAAATCAGTTGAATATGTAGTTCAAAGCCTCACAACAAAGAAAACAAACATCTGGCCCCACATGGCTTCACTAGTGAATTGTAACAGTTAAGGAGGAAATTTTAGAGTGTTCACCCTAATATCAGGAGCAAGGTAAAGATATCCTCTGAGCACTTCTATTCAACATTGTACTGGATGCCACAGGCAAGAAAAAGAAGAGCAAAAATGGCATCCAGATAGAAAAGGAAGAAAACTGTCTGAAAACAATTGGGTATAAATTGTCTATGTAGAAAATTTAATGGAATAGGCTAGGGATGGTGGCTCACACCTGAAATCCCGGCACTTTGGGAGATCTAGGCAGGCAGATCTCTTGAGGTCAGGAGTTCAAGACCAGCCTGGCCAAATGGGGAAACCCTGTCTCAACTAAAAATACAAAAATCAGCAGGGTGTGGTGGTGCGCACTTGTAGTCCCAGCTACTTGGGAGGCTGAGGCAGGCGAACTGCTTGAACCCAGTAGGCAGAGGCTGCAGTGAGCCAAGATCGTGCCACTGCACTCCAGTCTGGCTGACTCAGTAAGACTCCCTCCTCAAGAAAATCTGATAGAATATATAAAACAGAAAAGCAATATGCCATAATCATTTCTATGTACTAGCAAACAATTGGAAATTGAGTTTTTAAAATATTTACAATATCAAAATATATAAAATATGGATAAATCTATCAATTAACAAAACCTGTGCACTGAAAAATAAAAACACTGCTTAAAGAAATTAAAGGCCTAATAGAGACATAAATTGTAGTCATAGTTAGAAAGACTCAGTTGTTAAGATGACAATTTTTCTCAAATTGCTCTACAGATTCAAGTCAAATCCAGTAACATCCAAGCAGTTTTTGTAAAAACTGACTCATGAAAATACCAAGGACTCAGAAGAGTTAAAAACAACTTTGAAAAACAACAGAGCTGGATGTCCAAGACTAAGTGGTTTCAAGACTCAATATAAAGCTACAATGATTAAGACAGTATGTTTCTGGCATCTAGAAAAAGGAAAATGGGTCAATACAAAAGAGTAGAGTACAGACATATAATCATACATATAGAGATAACCGATTTTTCATGAATTTGCAAAGACAAGTGAATGGAGAAAGGACAGTCTTTTCAATAAATGACATTGTAAACACTGGATGTCCCCATGCAAAACTAAATACTTCTGACCCAAACTTTGTAGCATATTCAAAATATTAAGTCAAAATGAAAGAGACCTAAATGTTAAACCAATGTATAAAACTTCCATTAGAAAACAAAGGTGGCCAAGTGCAGTGGCTCATGCCTATAATCCCAACACTCTGGAAGGCTGAGGCAGAAAGATGGCTTGAGGCCAGGGGTTCAAGACTAGCCTGGGCAAAATATAGAGACCTCAGGTCTATAAAAAATGCAAAAATTAGCTGGGCTTGGTGCTGTGTGCCTATAGTCCTAGCTACTTAGGAGGCCAAAGCCCAGGAGTTGAAGGTAATTGTGAGCTAATGATTGCACCACTGTACTCTAGCCTGAACGACAGAGTCAGACCCTATCTCTAAAAAAAAAAAAAAAGATTATTATTATTAACAAACAAAAGGAAAAAATCTTCATGACTTACAGTTAGGTAAAGATGGCTCAGACAAAACCACGAAAGTATAATCCATGAAAGAAAAAATTGGTGAACTGGACTCCATCATAATTAATAACTGTTGTGCTTCAAAAGACAATGCTGAGAATGAAAAGATGAGTTGCAGAAAATATTTGCAGGCCATATATCTGATAACGGACTTATAACCAGAATGAAGACCTCTCAAAACACATTTAAAAATAAATAACCCAATAAAAAATTGGGCAAAAGATATAAACAGACACTTCACCAAAGGTAACAGTTGACAAAAAGCATATGAAAAGATGTTCAACATCACAGACATGAGAAGAAAGCAAATTAAAACCACAATGAACTATCACTATATATATATACTAGAATGTCTATAATCAAAAAGACAAGACAACAGGCACTAGCGAGGATGTGGAGGGACTGGAAATTTCCTACCCTGCTGATGGCAATGTAAGATGGAACAACTACATCTAAAAAGTTTGCAGTTTAAAAAGTTAAACATATGCCTATCATAAGATCCAGACTTTCCAATCACAGCTGCCCCATCAAGAGAAATGAAGCATATGTCCACACAAAGACTTGTACAGGAATGTTCACGACAACTATATATTTTTTTTGATCTACGGTCAGACTTGTTACCCATTGCACCAGGTACGTTGACAACTATAATTTTAATACCTCAAAATGGAAAACAATACAAATATCCCTCAAGACTCGAATGGATTAACAAACTGCTGATAGCCATAAAGTGTATTATTACTAAGCAACAAAAGAGAATGGACTACTGAAACACAACATGGGTGAATCTCAAAATAATTATTCTGAGTGGACTTACCTAGACCAAAAAAAGTATATACCATATGATTACATTTACCTAAAATTCTAAACAGTGTGAACTAATCTATAGTGACAGAAAGCAAATCAGTGGCTGCTTGGGGAAAGAAAAGCAGAAGGGAGGGACTATAAGGCACAAGATGATATTGCGGGCAGTGATAGATGTTCATTATCTTCATTGTGGTGATGGTTTCACAAGGGTGTACATGAGACAAAACGTTGTATATTTAATATGGGTACTTTATTTTATGTCAAATTATATCTCAATAAAGCTATTTTTTAAAAAGGCAAAATGTGGGCCAGAACAATAGTTTGAATCCAATTATGTAAAGATGTTTATATGGATGGTAACATATAAATTATTTCAAGAAAAAAGGCACAAAATTACTCACGCCTAATAAAAAGCAAAAACTGTGAATCAGTTTGAATTTTTTTAAACATGCATGTGCATCAGTTTATTTAAAGCAAATTTACAAATGTTTTAAAGAACACTTAGTTACTTGTACACAGGCCTGACACCAAAGCAAAAATTCACCATTATTCTAGAAAATTAACTTTAATCATTCAGACATTTATATTAAACAATGGATTTTTTAAAATGGTGTGCAATTATTTTTATATCATCTTCTAAAGTATTCTCCTCAAACAACATAAAAAACTGGTATAACCAAAGTGTTACATCTGGACATCCTATTCTGAGTCTCCTCAGTTTTCCTCCGTCTACTCATTCTGAGCCTTGCCTATAACCTCCTTTCCTTTTCTACTAATAGTGGACAAGTCACACTTGCAGTATTTATTCTTTTACAAAATTTACACGAGAAATCTGTTTGGATGATAACTACAACATCTACCATTTTGCACTCTTTAGCTATTCCTGATTTTAAATCCCATGACTATCTCAACTTGGAAAATAGTATCACCACAAAGAGCTTGTTATTTTTCCCTCAATCTGTATAATATGAACTCAAGAAACAAGCCTAGATATTAAAGAATGGACAAGTATCCAGTTCACTATAGGTCAGTCCACAGAAAATAAGCAAGAAAACACAGTACCATACCCAAAAGTATTCTGAAGAACATCACATCATTATGGATGCAATTTCAAGAGTTCCAAAAAGTGAACAGTCAACATCACTGGACTAAGCAGATAGCCTCTCAAGGCAGACGGGCTTGCAAATGAAAAATTACAATACAGGCCAGAGGCCATGGCTCACACCTGTAATCCCAACACTTTGGGAGGCCAAGGTGGGCGGATCACGAGGTCAGGAGTTCGAGACCAGCCTGACCAAGATGGTGAACCCTCATCTCTACTAAAAATACAAAAATTGGCCAGAGTGTAATGGCGTGTGCCTGTAATACCAGCTGCTCAGGAGGCTAAGGCAGGAGAATTGCCTGACTGAACCCAGGAGGTGGAGGCAGCAGTGAGGTGAAATTGCGCCACTGCACTACAGCCTGGGCAACAGAGGGAGACTCAGTCTCAAAAAAAAAAAAAAAAAGAGGAAGAAAAATTACAATACATTATGACATTAAAAGTCGTAAGTACTACAGGAAATGGTAAGCATTAGAACTAAAGTTTAAAGGATGAGTAGTTTTCTTAGTCAAAAGGGAAAGATTCCAAAGGATGTCTACCATAAAGTCTTTCTTTAAAAGACAAACCAGCTCTCAACTTCTGATTCAAACTTGAAGCTAATTGCCTCAACAACTTTCTTTTTTAAGGATCAGGATAATTCATTTCTAATGTGTCTTATTATTGACCAAAATATATTCATTTTCATAAGACAAAGAGTAAAAAAAAAAAAAAGAAAGTAAAAAAAAATCTTAGATTAACAAAATTATAAGATACAGGTCAAACCACTTACCATCCACTTAAAATCATTATTTCCCCTCAGAAAATTGGGATATCATTTTACAGTCACAAGAAGCCATGTGTGAAAGCATTTTTAATTCCTTGATCATTCATACTTTAAAAGGTTATTCTTACACATTGCCACTTCTAGAAAAACTTACGGTGCTCTTTATATGGTCCAACTTTACAAATTAAAGGAAACATTTTACACTTGGGTTTTGTTGGCTACATTCATTTTCAAAAGCTAACTAAAATTTTCCAGTAATTATCATAATAATAGATCAAACAATCCCCGTTTCAAACAGAATCTTTTCCTACCTTCACACCCACTGCAACTTCAGTGACGATTCTGTAAAGAAAAAATAAATAGTTTCAACTTCTTGTTATTCTTCTAATCACTGTTTGGCTCTAAAACTTTTTAGGATAGTTCATCATTCGTAAGTCTTCCAGCCACTCACATACAGATGGGGGGGAAAAAAAAAAACCACAGATGGTCAATGACTTACCTGTACTGTTATCAACCTAGTTACTAAAAATAACTTTCAAACCTGAGACAAAATTCAATAAACTTGTGGTATTTTTTAACAACATATTCAATAGCCAAAAAGAACAAAACCCAAAACACCATGCCATTTCTACAATGCCAGTACACTGAGATGAACAATTTAACGCTTAAACTCTTTATTTGTCTCCATAGGAGCCAGGAATCAGGAAACATGAATTCTAGTGCAAGTTTTGCCATCAATTTCTGTGTTGATCTGAGGGGAATACTAAACTTCTCTGGGTCTATGTTTCATCTGAAAAATAATCTTTAGATAACATCTAGGATGATTTAAATTCTGTAAGACAGTTAACTTTTATAAAAGCATCTTTTTAATATATTTTTAAAAACACCAAAGTCTAGGCGCTTAACCAAATTTTTGATTCTTCAAATACTGTCGCTGATTTCAATAAATGTGCTTGTTAAATGATACTACGTTTACACTCCCAAAAGAGCTGCATATTGCTATATTTTCGCCCTTAAGCGAGCCCCGTTTATAACGAGGAGTTAAATAAATTACTCCTTTCAGGTGTGAAGCGTTATCAGCGAGACATCGGTTCCTATCATTTCCCAGAGCTCTTGCCTCTCACCTCACTCAGCATTCTGTCTTCACTCAGGTTCGCAAAGATGCAGCATGGCTCTGGCTTTTTGTAGTCGTTATTCCAGAAACTGACCAAAGTAGCCAAAGAGATGGCCTTGTGTTGACTATCTGCTCTTGTTTCTGCCATTGCTGTTGGCCTTTACCCATGTGACTGATGTCGACCTCAAACACTTCGTTTTTTAGATGATTTAATTTCTGGGCCCTTTTGCCAAGCCTTGAATGTTTTAAGGCCCCACAAAAAGGCATTTTTCCTCCCTCCCGCCCCCACTACCAGACTCAAATGAAAACAAAGGAGTATGACATCTGCCCTCCCCCTTCCTCCCGCCGCCGCACGCCCTCCCCCCTTCCCCAGCGGCTCCCACTAGGCTTTCCCCGGAGCTCCCGCCACCCGCATCTCTCCAGACCACGGCGGGCCGGGCGAGGCCGGGGAGGTTGCGGATGGCTGGGGTGCCTCTCCCCTCTTCCCCTAAGGCCTCCCCCACCCCACAGGCCTGTCTCTGCCCATCCCACTGGCTCTCACAGGCACCGCTACCCCAAGGGTCGGGTCCCAGGGTACGGATCGAAATGGCTCCTAGAGGGGGCAGGGACAGACCGGCAAGACGCTATGGGGTTCCCACCCCATCCCCCGCCGCCAAGCCGGAGCCCGCTGCCACTCTGGTATCCTCATCCCCGCCATCTCCCCAATGCCTCCCCAGCCTCCAAGCCCGCTTTCTTCTCCTTTTCTCGACCAAAGCCCGCCGGGGGAAGCAAAGGGAGGGGTGTGTGCGATGGGGCGGGGGTTGGGTAACGGCAGCCCAGCCCTGGGAGGGGCCGCGGGAGGGTTTCTCGCCGGCCCGGGAGCGGGCCGAAGGACTACCCAACTCCTTTCTCACACACACCTTCTCGCCGGCCCGATTACATACCCGTCCATTGCCGAACCGGACAAAGCTTCGCTCAAGAGAACCGAGCCACGCAGCCAGCGAGCCACACAAGCGGCGAGAAAATGGCGGCTAGGACCCGACGGAAATTGCCGAAGGTGCCGAGGCGCACGGGGCAGCGCGCGGCAGCGACGGCGGCGGAAAGAGCCGAGCGCGCCGGCGCCCGGCAGCAGGAGGCGAGTGGCGGGGCGCTGGGACTAGGGGGAGTGGGCGCCGCCGCCGACGCCTCCTCAGCGCCCCCGCGCGCCTGCCTCCCTCCGCCCTCCGCCTGCCGCCCTCTGAAACCTGGCCTACTGCTGCAGACCACGGCGTCCTGGTTTCCACTCCTTGGCGGCTGTGGGTGGGACACCTCCCAACAGCACTCCACACTCTATCTGCCCTGGACCTGAGGGGGATGACCCTGATTACGGGACGGGCCCCAAGCAGCCTCCACTTTTCCCTGCAAGCCAAGTACCAGCTTGTCTACCGTCAACCAATGCGGGCCAAGGGAAAAAAAATTGGATAGCTTCTCCTAAGCCATCTTTTATTTGCAGACCGACTCCAAACTCTAAAACAAAAACCTTTACCCCATTGAGCAAGACCACTTGGTAGAAACTGTACTTTCTCAAGCAAGTAGAACTCCTCAGACTGAAATACAGGCTTTTGCTTCAAGACCTGTAGTACCAAGCCAAGTGGAGGGAAATGTGATTCTCACTTCAGTTGGTGATTAGTGTGCACCTGTAGAAAATATTCGCAATACCCAGGGTGGAAAAACGGATACAAATGGAGCGATGTGTTGCAATGCTACCAATAGCTGGAGTTTAACATTTAGGGGCATGAAAGGGAAAGTGGAGATGGGAGTGGGAGCAACTGAGTCTTCAGATTGATTAGAGAGAGTAGAAGCATTAAAATGGGCTATGCAAATTGACTCCCTTTGCTAGATCTTACAGTCTCAATTTTAACTTGATGGACATTTTACTTTGACGTGTTTTTATCAGAGGCTCAATAAAATTGAGAGAGGAACCCACTTCTTGAAAATGTGCTCAGTGAGTAATGACTTTGCCAGTATCCATCCTTCTCCTGCACCCTTCACTTCCACCCCCAACACACACAAGCACAAATACACTTCTAATCCAGAAAAATGACAAATACTCCTGTATCCCTCCAGTGACTCTCAATATTCACTCCGGGGTTTCTCATATCTCCATCAGGCAAAGCTCTTACCCTTTACTAATTGGAATTTCACTATACCAAATGTTATTCTGTAAAACTCTTAAAATAATGTTACTTTTAAATTGGATAGACCCTTAAAGAGGATCTTGTCGAGACACTTTGTTAGAGAACTCTTCAAAGAACCCAAATTTTTACAAATTCTTGACTTGCCTCTGGGATTGTCAATCCATTAAAAAAAAAAAAACCCACCTGTCAAATCTCCTACAATAACCCCCTTCACCTTAAACCTTAAAACAAAGGGTCTGTTATTAGTGCCATTAATAATCACCTTTCACATAGTGCGGTTTTGTGCACCTGTTTTCACTCAATAATTAAATATGTAAGCTACCAAAGGGCAGGAACTATGCTATTAATTCTCGATATTCCTCACATTTGCTCTATCAGTATTAATTGATTGGTTCTCACTTTGTCTTGGCAAAGACAAACCGTTCTGTGAGAAAGAAGCTTGTCCTTAGCAGAAGAAATTACAGTGTTCACACATTTTTCTTTTTTTTTTTTTTTTACTAATGCAGTACAAGACCACAGACATACAATAGTTAATCTGCTTGCTTATTTAAGCTAACACTTTCTTGAAAAAAATGCAAGGTAGTTAACAAGTCAAAGCACATAAAGTACTAGATTAAGACAAGAAGTGAAACAAGAATAAAACAAGAGGACAAAGCATAGCATGAGTCAGGAATGAGGCTAATGCAACAGTGTACACAGAAGCATACTGAGTAAAGCCTGAGTTCCGATTTGAGCTCTTTCATTTAATACCTGTGTGACATTAGACATGTTCATTAACCTCTCTAGGAAACTTTCCTTTGCTGAAAATAGGATTAAAAATACAGCCTTTGGGCTGGGTGCTGTAGCTCACACCTGTAAGCCCAGCACTTTAGGAGGCCGAGGCAGGTGGCTCACAAGGTCAGGAGATCGAGACCACACTGGCAAACATGGTGAAACCCTGTCTCCACTAAAAATACAAAAATTAGCTGGGTGTGGTGGCAGGCGCCTATAATCCCATCTACTTGGGAGGTTGAGACAGGAGAATCACTTGAACCAGGGAATCGGAGGTTGCAGTGAGCTGAGATCATACCACTGCACTCCAGCCTAGTGACAGAGCAAGACTCCGTCTCAAAAATAAATAAATAAATAAATAAAATAGGGCCTTCATTCTAGATGACTGAAGTCAATACCTTAATGTTTGTAAAGCACCTCCCTAGCTCAGTAACTACTTACTTACAGTAAATACTGAGCAAAGAGTGTTATCATCATGCTTATTATTTTTGTTATTACTATTAGTCATTTGAGAAGGAACAGGCTACAAATTTGTAGCTTAGATTTTAACAGCCAACAATATCCATAAAAATAAATCTATATAGAGATTTTCACAAAGGTTAAACATGTCACTAAAGTAATTAGATTGGCTGGTATCTATGGGAATAAATCTGGGAAAATGACATAGAAAAATTTCTAAACCCTCATCCAAATCTAAATTTGTATGATTTTGTGAGTTAACCATGGGATAGATTATTAATCTCAACATTAGCACATGGCCAACCTTTGTAATATATGACAAGATTCTATTAGTGTTTATGGATTCCTAACAAAATAAGGCAATAAAAAGTGAAGTGCCTGTACAGTATTATTTTCATACCCATATCTTTTTGCAGTATAATGATTTGTTCTTTCCCAGCTGAATGGTAAATGTTTTGACCTTTTACAGAAATTTACACATGTGAACAATGATTAAATTTCAGTGTATGCTAAGCCAAAATGAGGTCTAATATTTATGCAGTAAAAATAGGAAGCAGGATATGGTTCATAATGTTCTGATTTTATTCTTAGCCCCACCTCTTGACTGCTTATACTACTGAAGACATCATTTAAATTTTTCATGCTGTAGTTTCTTCATTTGAGAAGAAATAATAATGGATCAATTAGATAATATTTTACTTTCAAAATACAGAACAGTGAACAAATTCAAAAGACATGAAAGCATATACAGCATTTCCAGAAAAGACAAATATGTCGATATAGAAAGAGAAGAAGTGGTAGCCTAGAACTGGGAGTGGGAATGGAGAATAACTGTAAATGGGCACTAGTTTCTCTTCAGGATGATGGAAATGTTTTAATACTATATTGTGGTGATGGTTGTACAACTCTGTAAATACATTAAAATTCATTGAATTAAACACTTAATACTGAGGAATTTCAGAGGATGTAAATTATGTATTAATAAAGCAGCCGTATAGCTATTGGCTTAGGGCTTCTTTCACCAATATATAATTCTCTTCTGTATTGGATCTCTGATTTCCTGGATCCCATATCTTCTTCTTTCCTGATATATTCCCTCATGGGGAAATACATCTTCCAGAAGATTCCAGATTAAAAAAAAAATCCATTGGAAAGAAATTTTTTGATATTTTGCATATCTAGAGATATGTTTATTCTATTTTCATGTTATTGATAGTTTGGAAAGGAATGCCTTTTCTCAGTACTGTACCCAGAATTGTGCTATGTCTACCTGGAAGGGGTGTTTCAAAAAGAAAAATCATATACTTTTTACTCCTGCTCTCCAGCTACTGAGTTCCATGTTCCAGAGGCAACCCATCTTACCAGTTAATAACTATTTTTTCAGAGATGTCCAAAGACAGATATTGATTACATACATAGTTTTTCTTTAGATTCAGAAGTGGTAACTGTTATGCACACTATTCTGTAACATATTTTCAACTTTAAAAATTTACATCTCAGAGATCTTTCCTTATCGGTATGTTTAGAGGTGACTCATTCTTTATATACAGCTGCATAATATTCCACTGAATAAGTAAATCATGATTTATTTATCTAGATCGTATTGATGAACATTTAGATTGCCTCCAATCTTGTTATTTATACACAATTCTGCAATGCATATCCTTGTTTCTAAGATGTTTTTCCACATATGTGAATGTCTGCTGGATAAATATTGTAAATAAAAATTACTGGCTAGGATATATTTTTTATTTAGAGGCGTTCGGGTTGCCTACATGGGTGTGAGCCTTGCTATAAAATATTAGCAATTCCTTCCATTGAAAAAGGGAAGTACACCAATTTCTTTAATATATAAGGAGTTCCTACAAATAAAAAAATTAAAAGTTAATAATCA